GAAAAGCTGGGGAAAATTGAAATCACCCATAATGAGAATGGGAATGGAGTAGTAAGAGCATACGCGACGGATTCGGTCACATATACTGAATGTGTGAGTGTCCATTGCGGTTGGAGAGCGGTAAATGACACCAATAATGCACGCATCTATCTTGTTTGACTTCAGCATACACCAGAGGGTATCTTCAAGGATGAGATTAGCGTCAGGTATTTCAGCACATTGAAGACTACTGTCATAATATAGTGCAACTCCACCGCCATGGGTGGCTCGATCGTGTCGTATAACACTCATGTTTGTAATTTCGATTTCCTTGTCCGATATTTCCGCTTGCAACCAAGTCTCAGTCACTGCCACCAAGTGAGGTTTGTATTGGTCGCAAAAGGCGTTTAATTCTGCCACTTTACTGGGCAGACATTGGGTATTTGTATAGAGGCACTTAAGGCTAGTCGTTGTGGTTAATTCTGCTGTGCTGCAACGCACGACTCCCGGGGAGCCAGCAGTGATTCGTTTTTTGGTAAATCGTTTTTTGACCCCAATTTTTCCATCATAGTCTGAATACCAACCGTGGTTTGTTGGTATTCATCAGTGATCGTTTGCGTTTGAATAGTTCCTATTTCGCCAGTCCGAATCGTATCAGCAGATGCGTTTGAGCGTTTAGGTGAGCTTATTCTCAGTTCCCTCGGAAGCAAATTACGGTGCCTTCGCCACTGAGCTTTCACCAAGTTGGCCATTTCGGCACGAAGAAATGTCAGCTTTAAGGGTCTAGGGCCGTTTCCCATGTATTTTTCCGATTTAGGAATTCTGAAAGCATCAACTACTGCCACCTCTTCCGTTTCGAGCGTACTACTCAGAAACTTCCACTGTAGAACGTCATGTGAAATGCGTGCCGTTTTATCGGAGGCATCGTCAATCTCAGGGACACCCAGAATGATCAAGCTCCGATCATCAGCACGATTATTAGTCGCTTGATTTTCGACATTACGAGATCGTTCTGTCCATGGTACGTCAGCATGAACTCGCGCGCTATTTTCCGAATCGCTCTGGAGTCGAAATGCTGACAACAGTATATTTTCTAATTCTTTTTCTGTCTTAACAGTTACTCTGAGAAGTCTGGGTTTGTCTTGATGATGCGATTTCGGCGGTCGGCTCAGGCGAGTCAGCGAGACTGGTTCGATGGGATCAAGCTGTATTCGATTGCACAGCTTTAACCATTCTTCCATATCGTGCTTATGCTTAGCCGATAATAGTGAGTCGCTTGGCTCCTTGATATTAGTGCATATTACGCTTAGTTTAGGTTTCGGTTTCAGTTTCCTAGTATGGTCGGTAACCTTCGATGCGGGGCAACCGACAATTCCCATGTTCTTGTGTATACTGTTGAGTTCCGCTGGCTCAGGTTCAGTAACATTCGTCTTTTTTGTCTTGGTGCTGTTTGGTCTGGTTTCCTCAACAGTCCTCGGAGTGCAAGCAGCGTCTGCCATTGACCTAGATGCCTTCGCTGATTTTACATCAGTTGTCTGGTTAACTAGGGGCAGCAGAAGCTCTCTGAGTTCTTGTATTTGTTTTTCCAAATGGGATATTTTATCCTCCGTCTCTCTGTTTGCTCTAAAGCCCATAGTGGTCGGTATATCTACTTGGCCAGTATCGACATTGGAGGCTCTACACATAGTGCATCGATAACAGATAGATGGATGCTTTGGGTCATTAATCATCTGAGCGCTCAGATCAGTCAGGGTATTGTCACAACGCGCATGCACCAGTAATTTGCAAAATGCACAATTAACTACGGTGGTGTCTCGACTTACCGGGCCTTGGCAAACAGCGCAATGACCGTGAGGTGATTGTTCCATGATTGGATGAGTCAAGGTCTCGGTCGGGTTTGGCACGGCCGTGTTCTTTGTGTGCGCAGCGGATCGCGTTGCGCGTTTGCACGTGTTGGTCGGTTGGTTCGACGTATGCGTGGGTGTGGACGCTTTGCGGTTCTTTGTCGGCCTGGTCGCCTGCATCGGGTGAGCGGATCGTGTGTGCGGTTTCGACACTGGCAGGGCAAGTGGGGTAGCACGTAGGACGAATTTCGGCGGATGTATGAAAGCTGGTAGCTGGCGTAATACTTCACCGATCTTAGTGAAATTTGCTGCACTGGATAGAACTCGTCGTCAGCTTTCTTCTAGTGTAGAAACGGGATAACGGCCAATAAAACTGGGTATACTTGTACGCGTGGATGTGGAGGCCGCGTACGTTGTAAATCCGTTAGTCGTGAACATCGTGAAAAATTTTCACAGATGAATATAGATGGTATATTCCAATAGATCTCCCAAAGAGAAATCGAATGGTATGTCGGTGAGCGTTGTAGGACAAAACAGATCCGAGAAAACTGTATCGGAGTCGGAGCGCCAAAAGATGCGACTGCACAGCAGGCTAACAGCGTTTGGATTTGCTAACAGCGTTTGGATCATCCGAACAACGCAGAGGAACAACGCCAGCAAATTACAAAGAATCACAAGAATGCGGAAACTGTTTCATGGCATTGGAATGATAAACTACTCGGCTTTGTATAGCAATTTAAGTTTATCCCACAGGGTGGAGAAGTTCTGTTCCAAACAGTTCCCTCTAAAGGAGAACACACTGAAATATAAACTAACAAGTGATGTTTTCAACAATTGACCATTTGCTCCAAGAGTCATGTGGTTGTCCCATGAAAGTTAGAAATTGATGAAGCCCTTGGGACGGCGACCTTCCCCCATCGACGGACTTCGTTCATTACGGCACTTACATGTGAATTGCACAATCGACCTGGTGCACACTTTTCAGATACCGGCTCTATTTTAGGATGTCCTGAAAGCTGAGATCACCTTACATTTGATCTTTTCTAGGTTTTCGGTTTTATTTACCTTAATACCGTCCGCCAGATGCAGTTCGTCACTTTGATTTCGTCCATTGTCACTTATATGGTATTTCTGCTACTAGATGGATCCCGAGAGGCGTTTTGTGCATCTTCGTAAGCTCTTCAGTCATCTGCGGGGCAACTATGACCACCACCGAATACAAATTCAGATGCAATGCGCTTTCACTTCTGGGTCACGTGATTCTGAGATCAAGCTCTCAGAGGACAAACGCGCAGCCGTTCATGAGTTTCCAATGTCTACTTGAAGAAGCTAACCTCTGTGACTTCTTGTTCTACCGAATTCTTACTTATGATTCATGTTCAGTCGGCTGAAGGATCTTCGTGAGGGAAACCCAAGAATGTCTTGGCCATCACACAGTCTAAATTGTTTCTAAATCATTTAGAAACACTACAGCCCAAGCCTTTATCCGTCACCATTACAACCCAAATGTTCCGCCAGTATCACCGCTGATTCTTCGGATGTCTGTAGGCAGGATTCTTCGTCAGTATTTCAGACTCACTTAGGCCGTACTGGCTCTTTTCCGGGGTTTACTAATATCGGGAGAAAACTGCGGCATGTCTTGTGGTAAGCCCACCGTTACCTGCTTTATTGTCAAGACAACGTTCACAACTTTTTCTACTCCTGTAGCTCAGTTTTTACAAGTTTTTGTTAGCTAAACTGACTGGTCAATCTTGTAAGTATTACTGGGGATTGAGGCAGTTTGAGAACCCCATTAACTGTCCAAAAACTGAAAGATCAATCTGGAAAATGTCTCTGCAAGGATCGTTCACGTATACTCTCTTCATTCTTTAAGCCCACCAATCCGCTTTTCTCAGACAGAGAATCTGGATGACTCAGAAAACGTTTCCATTCTATGTTTAGCCGGTAGATGACTTTAGGGAGGTCGCTCCCCAAAGCTCGTTACTCTCATATGGAAATGTATTGCCCTCATCCATGTACCTTGAGGTACAGCTGTTTGATTACCCTCTCACAGTCATTCACGCGCCTATAGCTTTTCGCAACCGAGCCACTATTATCGCGTGTCAGATACAAGAATACCATTAGCTGCCTTTTTTTATTACATCGGGATACTGGCTCTTTCAGAAAACAGCCATCTCGAAACGACGGCGGTTGGTCCCCAATAAGGCGACCAAATTAAACCAAACGAATACTGTTGATGTACCGAGTGGTTAGGGCGCGAATTTACTGACCGGAAGGTCCGTGGTTCGAACCTGACCTCTGGCTCTGAACTTCCCCTGTCCTAGGCTTGGTCAACCTTGCAGTATCGCAGCCCTCGTGCTTCCTTTGGATGGCATGGCAGCTAGGCACCGAAAGAGTGCTACGGCTGAACGATTTTTTTTAGTTGATCATAGAGCGTTCATTCATCGCTTTGCACTTGAGCCTTGATGTGGTCAAAATATTTCTTCCTATAATCCTGGTGGCAAAGATGGAATGTAAATGGTGGGGCCTTGTAGTGCTTTTCAGTTTACCGTATTATCTTGGCAAATACAGATAAACATACATGTGAGGCTGTTGGTAACATCTAACTTGGTATTCCAGCTGTCAGTTGTTGCCACACCCCTGCACTCTGTGGATTTCACGTGAAGGCAGGATGATTGGGTTAATGGCTTGATACCCCAGTGGAGTACAAAAGAGAAGGGTTTGATTAGGGCTTCAGTAGGAGCAAGTGTTTGGTCTGGAATCCGGATGACGTGTCACTCTCTCCAAGCTCAGCTTTGAACATTTGCTTCGTACGGCAAACAGAATTCTTAAATCGGTGCCGCACGATGTGTTCTATCCGTTCCTACCACCATAATTGCGTCGGGCTTTGCATTGTTGCCTGCTTTCACTCACTTCATTACTCTGGGATCAGTGCTATCAAACCTGAAGTTGAGGAAGCAGGTCACACAGTCCCGCAGAAATGTGTGTAGGCAATAGCTGGGGCTTTTCCAATCAGGGCTCAGGGGCCGCAACAGATCTCACTGTCTGTTGATAGGTCAGAACAATACGAGGTAATTCAGCCAATGGTGTGATGAGCTGGTGCTCGGATGACCTTGAAATGCCATTAGCTTAGCTCATGCCAAGTTGTTTGTTTCTGAGCCTTTGATTGCATGCGCACACAATCGGTGACCTTGACATGATCGATGGCAATCCACTGCCATTGCTTTCACTGGTCTGTTGACGGCTTCCACCGCATCGAGCGTGCGGTCGGTGCTATTACCGCTGTGCTCGATCCACACATTCGCGCGGCTTTGTGTGCACGCGTGTGTTTAGACATCACATCCAAGGACAAACCGAACGTTGCACCTACCGTCCGCAGTCAGTAATAACTTCGCTCGGTCTGCCTGACTAGCTTCCGTCAATCAAAGCTGTTGACTGGATACTCCTAACTTTTTGTAAATTACTGTGAACATCGATCAGACACAACATGGCAGCCTCCGTCTGGAAACTGTTCTGTACGCTGTTCCTTGTATCCTCCAGCAATGCCCTTGACTGTTATGAATGTCATTCGAACGTGGATCAAGGATGTTTTTCTCTAAACCCAGAAAAGATTAGTCCAACACCTTGCCCTGCAAGTTCCAAGTCGTGCACAAAGGTTGTTCAGGTAAGTTGAATTTACCGGATACTCACACTCTGATTTCCATACTTCACTCGTCAGTTGCCGCTTAGCGAACGTCAATGATCACAGTTAGGATCACCCACTACGGAACAGTCGTTGACCTGTGTTAGAATAGTCATCCAAGGGTCAGAGAATGAGGGTCGAACTTTCCAGGGATAGAAGGATTGGTGTTTCACAAGCAGTCTCTATGATGATTTCTTCAAAAATTTATGATTTTATGTTGATACCTGATCGTTCTCCTTCTCNTGACCTGTGTTAGAATAGTCATCCAAGGATCAGAGAATGAGGGTCGAACTTTCCAGGGGTAGAAGGATTGGTGTTTCACAAGCAGTCTCTATGATGATTTCTTCAAAAATTTATGATTTTATGTTGATACCTGATCGTTCTCCTTCTCACTACTCCGGCACACTTACGCATGAATGCTCCCGGAATATCTGCCAGACTAAGACTAGTCGGGAGCGTCATCTGAGACTTAAAGGACTTGCGGTCCACAGGCGACATGGTGTACCGTGCAGCTAGATCCTGCATCAGATCTGAGCATGTCAGATGGATTTGGACATGGACCTTTGCCCTAAGATGACAAACGCCTGACGATTCGACAGCAGAAGCTGCCCTTAGTAAATAAGCGATTGTCTGAAAACAACAAACACCTGTGTTTGCTTAATTTTTCAATTTTTATTGTTTGCATGAAGAAAGCTTCTGTCGTACTGAAGAAGTCAGTTGGCGTTGGGAGCATCCAATGAAGTAATGAACCTTTTTTCTAGCCTAAAATCAACTCCGGTCTGACTTTGCACAGGGCCCGTAACTACAGTCTTCGATAGAGTTAATATCAGTTAGTGAAATCCCAAGGTCCATCCACCTAAAAAGCCGTAGCTGTCAACCAGGAAACCAAAATCTTGTGAGAAGTTCTGTTTTTGATGATACGATGCATGGTTCTACTTAGCTCTTCTACTGTGCTCACAAGAAATACGCTTTTATTATCAAAGATGGATCCTTTTGTTGCGGAGTGCTTTCGTCGCCTGGCTCAAAACTCAGCAGGTTATTGCTATCCTCACTGAATTCTTAGACGATAAAAACGAGAACATACTACGTGCCAGCAATCCCTTTTCTGCATTCATACTTATGCCGTCAGCCTGTTATTTCGAATCATGCCTTTTCTATTGCGGAGATTGACTACCTCTGAGTGATGTTTTCATCCATTGTGTATAAGATGCATGGTTCAAATTGCCGTTCAGAAGAATCAGCTTGATTCCGCTGCTGACCGAGACAGAGTCAAGCAGTAAATTGCTGAACCCTTCAGTGCAATCTTGAATTCAAGCCATATCTGACTCGAGTTAAGTTTTCTTCGCTTTTCCACCTTGTTGTGATCGACTGTTACAAGCAACCTGGTATCACATGATAGTGTGTATTGGAACACGGAGGAAGAACATACCTAGTTCGTTTCTTCCTAAACTGTATTGTTATCTCTGATCACTAGGACCTAGAAAGTTGATACAAACTTAACTCGACAGCGCATCACTACCTCTACGGGTAAGCTGATTATTGGAACTTGAAGGTAAGTTCTTAGGAATCAGTAATCAACTTTGTGATCAACATGCATGCTTTCCACTAAACGAGTGGAACTGTCGTCACAAAATTGGAGAAGTAGTATTGATAGAGCCTAAAGGAGGGTGAAACCTGTTTTCAGCAACTTTATGAGTAGTACGTCGTTCACTACTTAAATCCATAGTATGGATTTGCACACAGCGAAAGCAGGGTGGTTTGTATGAACTACTTTGGAAAAGTCACGAATTCCCTGCCCATCGACATTCACTTCAGAATATCGCTGTTGACGCATGTTATGGGTGTAGGGCCGCATAGAACTATGTAAAATGGCCACGTTGCTCTGCAGTTCTGGAACAAGTCGAAGCGGCTGTTTGAACAGCCCGGTGATAGTATGGCCCATAAAATCAGACATGCATGCATTGGATGGTGTTCTGCTTAGATTTTCTCGGAGGAAGGCTTTAAGAAATATTTATGGACAAACACAGCTGCATTTTTAGACATTCTAATTTTTGTCGATTCCGTACCTTCTATTCATTTAGCTGTTAATTGTCAGCGCATTTGATTGCTTCAGAGCTAGTAATCGCTGCTGGCATCCACGTCAACCAATGAAAAAAAGGAAATGACTGTTCAGCTACAACAACATTCCGGTGTATGGCTGCCATGTGTCCTGAAGGTAATACAAGGACTTAGATGCTGTTAGGCTGCTGATGCCTCGATACGATCAGTAGAAAACCCAGAGTTGGGCTCGAGCCGCGGACCTTCCGGCACCCAAACAGACGAGCTGTCTGAGCCAGTGCATGGATAATCTACAATTAACTGGTCGTAAAAGGGCTGGGTTGTACAGTCCAGCACATCGACCTTGCAACCACCAGAGAGCCAGCACAAAAGTCAATAGATTGCGGAGTTCAGGTAGCCCCGCTGTGCTTTTTGGTCGCATCTCTCGTGTTCTCTGAGCTTGGAAATTTGTTTGCAAACGTTTCGCCACCTGTCAGTGCGCCGTTGGCTGGGTACTTTTCCTTACCTGCTTGCGTTTCATGCTTTTGAGGAGAGTAGTTGATATCTACTAATATGAGTAGCTGCTTGAGGGACAGCTTTACCATAAGTCCATTAACCCACTTACAATTTGAGCTGCGTTGTGATCCGCATTCCTTGCATTCGACTGGTTCGTCCAACAGCTTTCTCCTGGTTGGATATCACATGCTGATTTCACCCGTCCACACCCTGTGCCGCGTTGTGGCCTGTCTTCCTTCGATGTGATCGGTTATCCTGATACCTCTACTTTTAGCAGTTTTCCGTTTTTTTTCGTGGATTCGTTCCAAACCTATGTTGCGTTGTGGTGCAGTTTCCTTGAGTTGACTTAGCTGGTTGTGCTTTCCCTTGCTCCTCCTGACGACTAAACTCTGCCTCAGGTTTGCGTTCATTTCGGTCCTTTGATTTATCAATTGAGAGCCTTCTAATTCAATTGATTTAACCTCTAAATTCGAGCTCCTATGTTCTCAGCTTCCTTGTTCAGTTTTGAGCTCAGCTGGATTAAAGTTCTCTTGTTGTCAGTAGTTAACAGACTTGGTCGATTTCAATGTTTGTTGATGACGTCATTGGTGGAACATAGTTCTTCCAGAGATTTACGTTCCTTGATTGTTCTTTCCCGCGCTACTAGGGGAACGTCATCCCAATGGAACTCGTGTCCCTCCCGATCTTCACTTATGGAGATGAGTGGAAATTGATCTTACGTTTTGACATCGAGCTTGTGTTTATGAAGTTTGTTGGAAAGTTTCCTTCCCATTCGCTCTACGTAGTGTTTGCTACAATCCTTGCATTGTAGCATTGTTCTTCGCTATTGAATTCGATTTCCCTTTGGTTTCAAAACTGTCCTCTGTTAGATATTTGCAGGTTTGTAGACCATCATGGTACCATGCAGTTGTCAGATGTTCTGTACGTACGGAAGCGTGATCTGTGTGCCTTCCGTGTGTTCTCTTGAGTCTATAAGGCTGAGCCTTTTTGAGCTATCTTCAAATCGAGTTTATCGGTTGCCCGTTTGGAAGACCTGTTCCTCAATTAGCCAATCACATCAAGAGCTATCAAACTGGTCTTTCAAAACCATATAAGCGCAAGCAGTTCAGGAATAGGCACCCAGCCAACCGCGCACAGACCACGTCCGCCAAGATGTTCGCAAGCAGATTGCCAGTCTTAGTGAACAGGACAACAGTTACCAAGACTAACACCAATCTCCGCTACTTGCTGATCAGGTTGGAGGGTTTATGGTGTGTTGATTGCATCTCTCGCGTGGATATCATATGCTCAATTGACTACCAATTTCACACTACAGGCCATCAGTCACTCGATACAGCCCAAAAACGTGGAAGCATCAACTTTGAGGTCATGTGGGTGCTGGATCCAGGGCTGCCGCTAACGAAAGGCGTAGGTAAGCAGTACTGTCGGCTCAGTTCAAGACAGTACAACGTACGACATCAGCAGAACTGTGTAGGACCCGCATTTTCGTGGTGGAGCTAATCCAGTACTAATGCTCAGTTCAATGCAAAATGCACGAGCAAAGGCTTGTCATGTCTTGGAGCCACAGTTTCCTTGACTTTGGTTCCGTCTGTCGAAGTTCACCGAAATCTCTTTGTGGAATGTGCCACCCAGTTCCTGGCCAGAATCCCACGGCACCAACGTCATTGAAGGCCCATTTACCGACGGCTCGAACTTGCGCCTGTTTCCGGACAAACTTGGAGAGATACCGGTGGTTCAAATTCAAAGCTAACTGGAGCATCCTGGTCCTGAAGACCAGGAGGATCACCGGCTACACCAACTGAGATTGGCTGTGGTAATCCACATTTAGGCTAAACTATTTAAAAGCGAAGTCCCTTTTGGCGTTCCCCTTGGAAGTGGCCTCTCTCTGTGGGACCGCACGGTAGGTTTTGGACGTAGCGAGCCAATCCAAAGAACTCACACGTATTTTCATTCTTGTTTGGATAAGAAATACTCAATCAGAAACTGCGAGATGCATTTCAGTTGGCTGTTTTGAGAGGCTCAGTTTGTCATTCAAAGTGTTAGTTGATGGAACACACGGTTAGGTATTTTTTATAGGCATATTTATGAGTGAGGTAACGCCGTTAAGTATATCACAATGAGAAAAGAACTGACAAAGCATCAAGGGGCGAGTCAGGCATTCGGCACAATGGTTTGATGAGTAGTGAGCGACCAAATATGAGCGGTCGATGCGCACATGCGTATCACTCTCGGGGTTTGTACGCGGTGTGGGCAATGCTAACAACCGCAACGTTACCCTCTCCCAAGCAGAGCGTTCATAGGAAGTCCTTTTAGAGAGTTCGTACGCGGTGTGAGCAATGCAGAGCATGCATGCAGAGCGTTCATAGGAAGTCCTTTTAGAGGGATCCAGGCCAAATCACGTGAGTGGAATGCGCAAGTTCGGCTGCCGAATAACTTTCAGTCTGTTCCCTAGTAGCTACGGCAAAGGGCACATGCAATTCAAATGTGCCCGACAAAATGTCCCGTTCAAAACACTTAGTCACCCCTACCCGTGTCATTAGAACTGATGTGAAATGTGGCACGAGGCGTCAATAAGTCTTCTACTATCTTCAGGTGCAGACGCAAAAATAGATTATTGAATTGAAAATAGTTTATTGGTTGGTCGCTTATTGATTAGCTCCTGGGGATCACCTAACCTGCTTTATTAGTTTATTGCACACAGATGGGGTTGGTTGAATTGGACCAACATGGATTCAGTTGGTTTTGTGTAACAAATGTGCTGAACGAATTCGTGGAGCCAGCTTGATTGCTTGTTTCGACCAGTTGAGCTTTGCGCCAGTGACTCATGAGCGTACATGTCAAGAAAAGCCTGCGACTCAGACTACCTGCAACAAAAAAGTGGAGCTATTGAGGGAAATGCCACTGATAAGCAGTCTCCCGAACCCTTTTGCTTTGATTCACACTCACGCTTAAAGTTCCTATCTTCAGAGGTCGTGTCGTCGTTTCTTCAAAACAGCACATTCACGCTTAAAGTTCCTATCTTCGGTTAGTACAATAGAGGTCGTGTCGTCGTTTCTTCAAAACAGAGGCTCATTTCGCAAAGGTCTGTCCACTTGCTATTCCATGCGGTCGCGAAGATACTGGAACGGTGATGCTATGTACCTCAGTAACCTGCCAAAGTGTGCTGGAGAATGCTTGCGCAGCATCCACGTGGTCTCTCCTACCAGGTTGGTCAATAGATGGAGGTCAGACAAAAAGTCCCTCTGGCCCTTCAGGTTGAGGGCTGAAATAAGTGTGACAATTTGTTTCTTAAAATTTGGGCTACTCGGTTGGTAGCAGGCCAACCACCACTGTCTCGCAGACAGGTTTTTAAAGCAAAGGCTTTGGTCGAGGTTCTCCTATCTTGGTTTGGGTGGCCTGGTTGTTTTCGAACCAACCTACAAACGTGAACCTTACGGACAAGAGTACCTTCATTCCATGTTGGCAGTTGCGTTGTACCATCGGCAGGGCCGCCTTATTCTCTGCGTACAGCAGGCGACAGTTAAAAACCAGCATGAATTACTGGTTTATCGCTGTGGTTGATGATGATGGTGATGATGCCTCATACGACTCACGAATTCCCATGCAGCTGCACACACGCTTGTACTGGCAGAACAGACATACGTCTGGCAGAATGCACAGCTGGGTTTGCCACTTGGATGTGGACAGGGTAGGGTCGTAGGTCAGTCCGAAACCTCGCTCCACAGTCTCTTCGAAACAATCCATCAACCTGACTCCCCGAATTCTGCTACACTTCACCGACTCCAATTTTCTTAGTGATCATTGCAGTCCTGCCAGTCAGATTCCACCAATCGTACCTGAGTGCCCTTGAAGTAGAGTATATGGTTGTGGTAGAACTGATCAGAAAACCCACCGAAATCACAGGATTTTCAATCGTTTACCCTATTTTACACATACAAATGTGGATATTGAAAGAAATCTTAACTATTGAAGCACGTATCTTCTATTTGCTCGGGTGAGAACGTCCACAGATCACACGAGGATTTCATTTTAGAACTTTTACGTGATTGTATGGTGTGATGTGATTGTGGTAACCTTTGAACTTTCATATACTTATTCAGTGTCTCCTATGAGCACTTCATTTTTTGATCGGTTCGGACTTGAAGCTCCATTGAAAACCGTTGAATTTGAGTACATTGACCTTTGAACTTGGATGAAATGCTCGGTATCTATGTCGGCCAAGCTACGACAGTTGAAGTGCTGAAATCGGCTCGTCCGAACGAGCTGTTAGAGAAACAAATTTGCCTCTGCCCTGGTGGTCATGTCCAAATGTTTTACTGCTCAGTTTTTTCTGAATTCTGCACGGTAGTATGAGGCGAGAGCATCCTGACTACCGCACCAGGTACGTGCATTCGGCGAGAGCCGGTTTGTATGTGCAACTGGATAAATTTAGGCCCCTTGTGTTTACACGTTCAGAACATCACGCTTTAACAACCGCACAACGGTTTGTCCGCATGGTTGACTTATCACCTCTGTGCGATCGATTTCTAATCAACACCGATGTGTTGTAGAGCCAGCAGTGCCCCACAACGTAACATGCATTAGTATGTCACTTTGAATAGCTGGTTTTGTTTACATCCGTGAACTCCATTTACAACTGTTGCGAGCTGCATAACATTTGAAAGTCACAAGCTGAAAGCGTGACCTGTCACGTGACTGATATGGATTGTGAAGCACGTTGGTTAGAACCCATTTGTGAGTTGAAAGGCGCAGTTTTTCGCCACAGTTGTCAGTCAGTCTCATTGGAGGACGGTAGAAAGCTCCGGCGCCTGTATATCTAGTACCAAACTGAGGTTAGCCAGTTTTCCTAAGAGAAGCGTCGCCTTTCGGAGCAAAGATGCTTACAAAGTGGTGACTTTCTCAGAAGGTATGGCTCGCCGTCAGAAACCCTTATTACACCGTTATGCTAATCTCAGTTTTCCGTGTATCTGCTCATCTATCTGGGCGAATCCAGCGATTCTGAGCAGAAGATTCAACAGCAAACTTTACTGTTTGACTATCGGTGTACCCCGAACACTTATCGGGTCTGTTCGAGCTTTGTGGCAGAGCATGCAGTCCATAGCCAGTGGGCTCAGAGAGGGTGGCAGGTACCGTCCTCTCTGATGGTGACTTCAAGGTCGGACACGTCAATGGACAGAGCTGGGGTTAGACTTCACACCAATAGCGTCCACCCATCCGAGCTTTTGCCGTCAGTTCTCCAGAACAAGACATATCAGTACACGGTCAAATTGGGTACTCAGGGTATGACATAGTTTTCTGTCTTAGGACGCATTCCAAGGCGGCCCCCAGGGTGCGTGCGCGTATATGCTGAATAGGGAGTCAAGAAGCGCATTACTACTAGAGTTCGATGATATCTTGCCTACCCAACCGGGTTCTTAGAATATGCTGCAAGCGCACAATTACGGTGTCTTATCAAGGTTGACGTGATTGACCCTAGAAGTCACTAGCATGAGTGTGAGGGGTGGGCCTAGGAGCATTATTCACTATGTGATACTCGTCCTGAGGTAGACCTTGTCAGTTCTGGGATGAATGCTTTCACCAGGAAAGCATCAGAGGTTGAGATAGGTCTGTGGTTAAGGCGCGAACGTACCGACCAGAGGGTCTGTGGGCCGAACCCAACCTCAGCATCTCTACCGCTCGTGTCTAGGATTCGGCTTCCTTCGGGTGACCTGGCAGCTTGCAGGTGTTATAGCTGAACGAGAAAATCACCAGATCTACAAGATGCTTTGAGCTCTTGTAAAGCTTGTCTTGTAGCTGGAAATATTCATATTCAGCGGAACAATCCCGTCTGCCAGATGGTCCTCACAAACAAAACTGGCGACCGAAATATCTGTCAACAGTTGCACCAACTCATCCGGAATACGTCGAGCTCGGACGGAGTTGTATCAGTTCAGAACTGGAGTGCGAGGACAGATCGAACGACGTCGATCCTGGGGGAAATCACGGCTGTGGTGAAAATTGCTCGGACAATTGCTCAGTCACGATCATTCATCCACCCTTGAGTGAGGGGACTATGACGAACTTCTTAGAACATCTTTCAGAAGCTAATCTGACAGACGTTGAGTTTTGATAGCTATATTGTCATGCCTGATTACTCAGTACGGAAAAGCTTACTTAACCGTGCGAATTCCTCTGGTACGACCGAACTGGCTGTTTTTATTTGCTATTTACCTGTGGCTTGTTGTTGTTCTGCTGGCTAGTTTGGCTGAAAATGTCTCGTCGCCAGGCAAGGTGGCATTACCAGTGCGTTTTAGAGGTTATGCGTGAGTTCACGTGTTGCTTGCCCGCCCTGAGCGACCTTTGCCTCCCGTGCAACAACATGTTGATGCTGTTATCTTGTCAGGTGATTAAGCTGTCAACCAACCCACCCAAATCAATAAATAGACCAACGGCTATCCACACGACTCAATTTACCGTAGTTCTTCTGAAAGTAATTAATGGTTCATATGTTGCTTCGCTGCTTATTTATCTTCGAGTTTGGGTCCTTGTGAGCACCTTGAACCTAATCAATTCCTCCTCTTTCGGAACAAAGACCCACAGAGTTTTTTCACCAATACATTGTCTTCCTCTGAGCAGGGGATTGACCAGAACTAGTCACCACTGAGAATTATTCTGTGATGAAGTCTGTCGTAGTAAGACTTGGCATCTAACGCAACTTCTGTACGATTTCCTTCTTTCTAACAGAAAGCTCCTTTCAGAAGTGATTCAGCCAACAACGTGACCAGCGATGAGCGAGTTTCACGGTTTTGCAGCCCCGTGACCGTGGAGAGTTTTGGAAGTAGCTGTGTGGAACGTGTTGGTACAAACAAAGTTAACCTTCGTATGTGCGTCTGCAATGGAGACTTATGTAATCCGGCACCGCCAATTCAACAGTCAACGTTCCTGATCCTGTCGCTATTGGTTAGCTTATCACTTCTGACCGTCGGTAGACTGCTATGAGGGAACAAGAGGTGGACGTGCAGGATGTACACTTGCGTAACAGAAACTCCAGTAGATGAAACTAAATGATTCGTTCTTTTTCGGTATCTACCACAGTTCATAGGTTTTCTGTCTTCTTCACCTTTGTAGCATGTAAACATCAGAGAGCGACAGAACGAAATTTTCTTGTCATCACAATCTGACGCACATTCAACATAGACGAGTCAACGCTTCAATTTGTTTTTGAATAGTGTTCAAAATTGAATCTGTCCGTGTCGTTTTTTTGAAATCTTATTTTGAACTTCAGATACAGCATTGTCTGTGTAGTCAGCGGATCGTCTTTGTAGTTTTCTTTGACAAAAGGGTAGATCAACCGGTTTCGATTGAATAACGAATCCTATATTTGTAATGTACTACTCATAAGGTTGCTGAAAATCCATTCACAGCCCACGACCGGTTTCGCCCTTCTTGGGGCTCATTCATTTGCCTGAGAACATCATAAACGAGAGATTCAGCTGGGTTCCAGGTGAGTCTCTCGAAAGAACCAAATTAGTTTGCAGATGAGTACATAGTCGCTAACGAATCCTCTAGTTTATGGTCACGTGCTTTCGTAACGGTTAACTTGATCGGAAGAGAATCGCCAATAGTTAAGCGTATGAAACTCTTCTAAATTCAGAAATGATAATGGCTCAAAGTGTCCTGAGCGACTCGACAAACATTCTCTTGATGTAGCGAATTTAAGCCCGCCAAGCTCATAGTTTGTCCTTCGTCCTGGGACCCAAGCGTTTCCTCCCTTATTTCGACGTTGAAAAACAGCTTTGGCACATCAACGACGCATGGCACATTTCAGACCAAAACATAACTTCCCATGTCAAGGTCTTGTTCCATAGGTTACCATGTTATTATGAACGAGGCACAAATCTGGTTTCTGTGTATAAATAACAGTGGCCTCGAAAACTTTAATAGTCTACCGTCTGGTTGTCCGAATACTAATCAAGTCTAGGCGTTGGATCCATGCGATGTTTGATTTCAAAATCAGGACTGGAGGACCACAGTTGAGATTAGAGTGGTCCTCTTTGCTTTTGGTGTTATGTCTGTTCATTCAACTGTAAATTCAGCCTCGAGGGTGCGTGTTCCTCCCACTGGAAATGCTGACCTTCTGTGAAGTACTGTTGATAAGAGCAGTGATGATGTCACCTTGATTGGTGATGAAGCATTTGCAATCATGTTGCCCAGCTCAGCTTCTGTCTGTCCTGATGAAGTGGATCAAGGAAACCCAGTGTCTCAAAAAGCTTTTTATCCAAGTTCAGGAAACCAAACAAACACATTTCATGTCCTTTAGCTTACCTCACCTCCACACAAACGGTCATGTTTCGACCATATTATTCCGAATGCCATGACTATAACTTACGATCCTTAGAATATATCAAAGCTGATCGGTCATGCGCTTCACTTACGTTCCCAACCCAGTTTACGGCTTGCCAGCAAATGTTGGTGCTTTGGTCACAAAACTGTGAAATGGAAGTTCAAAGCCCGAATGACCAGAGTTTGAACTACTCTTAACTGACCGCAAATTCATCACTCGCGAAACGGTTTTTCAATACCTATCTAAAATGTCTTCAATATGAGAATGACTAGAAAAAAACCGCTCCGCTCTTTGGTTGAGCTGTATTGCGAAAGTTAAGGAACTGAAAGTGGGAAGGCCGATTCACGTCTTCATGGTGCTTTCTAGAAAGAAGAGCTAACACGGCATGAAGTACAGGACGACGATTGTCAATAGGTGTTTGGATTCGGAAGGTTTGTTCTCCCAGATAACTAGAACACCTGTACAACAAGCGGGAGATCACTACCTCGAGTTAACTCCCCCATACTACGTGTACCTGAACTTGAAATTCCAAACAATATACCTTTGATTGAGCCGTATCTTGGTCGGCATTTCAGCCTTCGAATGCACGTTGTGCATGAAGTCCGCCCAGCCAATCAGCCTACGCCGCAGTCTGGCTTCTGATTGGTCGTTTCTACGGTGCATACATTCAGCTCCCTCAATTGGTCCGTTTTTTCATGTCCGTAGCTGCATTGTCGCTTCTGTTCACATGCTTCATCCAGCATCACGACTTCCTTCAGGTCACTTTCATTGTGTAATATTGACTTTCATTAATGACTGAGCGTTGCTATCCACAGAAATACTGAATAGACTTGTATGTTGTGGGGGTTTATGTCTCTTGTCTAGATCAATACGGAAGCGCCCTCTGATTTAGTCAATGCACTCTAAACGCCATGATTCCAGACTGTTTGGTCTACAAGAGATCCGACCAATACTCACGACCGTGAGCCCAGGAGACCTATTGCAAACCAACGGAATATCCTCCCCCCTGAGCTGGAAAACTCAGTGTTTGGAAGATGCTGGATTGGTGTTGGTTTTATTGATACAAAGTTCAAAGGAATCATTTGCCTAGAGGATTTGACTCACGTGCTCTCCTGTTACGGTTACACTAACCTTCAATGAGTTCAACTCTGCAGTTCATCCGACAAACCAGTTGGGATCTTTAAACACAACTTTTAACTGCCACCCGGAGAGCAAATACCTTTAACGCTCTGTGCACGGGAGACTCACCCGAATCACAGCTGACTATCTTTTTTATGCTGTTCTAATTCGACTAAGTGCGCTGCACCAGGTTGCCTCACGTTCCAGTCGTTACGATAGGCCAGTATCGCAATACATTGTAAAGGACATTCTAAACGAGAGATGCAACTGAGTCTGTCTTGAAGACTAAATTGGTGTGTAAAATTAGTGTGTTTTGTGCAATTTGGGTTCAACTACAACACGAATTTGAGGGAAACTTGGGAACTGCGCTTTATTGCTGAGCCCAAAGTATGGCAAGACCAGTCGTGGGCTGTCAGAGAATTTTTAGAAAACTTCTGAGTAGTGTTTCACGTCCGTACAGTATATTGTATCAAATAAAACACGAGACCACATGATGCGGCACTTCCCGTTGAAGAGCATCATAGACGAGAGGTTCAGCTGAGTTTCAGGTGACCTGGGGACGAAAATAGTATGCAAATGCATGTATTTTATTAAAGGCTTTACTTAACCTACGGGCACATTATTCCTGTCAGGTCATCATCATCATCGACAGCATGACATCAGTGTTTAAGACCGATGATCCACTGCCGTACCACCATGATCTACTTGAAAGCCTAATTGTAAAGAAAAGAATAAAGGTGGACGGGGAAGGGACTTAGCTTACCACAATCATCCCGAGGTGCCCATACCTGCAGACGCTCACTCAGGCAATCTGGATAGAAACTGACAACAAAAACGCCACTGACATCGGTTGGCAGTCATATCTTGTACTGTCTCCAACCAGGTACAGTAAGGATCACGTGGTTCCCATCCTGGAAGGTGAGTAGCACGGACAGCACCCAAGCGTTTCGTGATCTCCATACTCCTCTGCCAGGTCAAGGGTTGGCCACCTCTCTGTTTACGCCACTCTGAGTTAGGCATGGAAAACAACACTCTCTTCAGCAAATGATGGTTCGGCATACGCAACACATATCCCAACCAACGCAGCTTCTGGTGCTGGACCCATTCTTCAATGGAAGTACCCGTTGCACAACCGAAAGCGGGCTTTCTAACTGCTTCGTTACGGATTCGCCGACAGCAACCCACATGAGCTATGGTTGTGAGACAACGATTGTCGAACACCTGAAGGCGTCTCAGTTCCGCTGCTCAAATAGGCCAAGTCTCACATCCATACAACAAAACAGCCCGCACTGTCAGGTGAAAGTGGGCCCAAGTATTGTAACCTATCTTGATGAGTCTCGCCTTAACTTGATTTTGTACGATATTCTTGGTGCCAGTGCAAATGAAAGCGACTCCGAGTGCGGAGTTGTTGATCGACAAATAGGCGGTTAGAAGCTATCGGACACGAAAGCGAGAGCCGCATTTCCACAAGGTTTAAAAGAATCAGTATCCTCATGAGTTCTCCTGAGCTTTCTCGGACGTTCTCTGCACACTAAACGGTGGTGAGCATTTACTGTAAAATCGATCAATAGATTCTGAACCAACCTTCCTTCAAATGCAATCACCGACTGCTTTTTAAACCGATTTGTCGGATACTACTCACATGTTTCACCAATCGTACACACCATCACGTCAGTTTGTCCATTTACGGTGCGATCCTTGATACAGGCTAGAATCAGAGCATCGAAAATTATGGCCACTCTGACGATGCTTTGCCTCTGCTCCAAAACCTTACACAGGTGCTGAGGGAACAGACACATGGGGAAGGGGGAATTGCTTACTTTGTTCAGCGAATCATAATGATGGTGAGATGCTTCTCCCATAATTCGATTTCTGTGCTAATTACTCCCTGCAAGCTTATATGGTTATTCCTCGAACTTGCCGAATCGCATTTAAAGTTTCCTGCGGGAGCTCGAAATATTCTGTTGAAGTGTGTTTACCTTCTTTTTATGATGAAAATCCCCTTTGAAACCCACCCATGTTATGCCTTCGGACACGTGTAATTCTGAGCTGAAATTTCAGCAAATGGCGGTTCGCTGCTGCATAATGTTGTGCATTCAGAATACCAAAATCTAACAACCACTCGGCTGGCGAATGGGGGTCGTTTCCGCCGCTTATGCCTGTCCGTACGCACTCAATGCCAAATCAGTGCCCCGGTTGTTTCAACCTAGATGTTGTGTCTGTCAGATCCTTGGGGCGACCATAAACACTGCTGTTGGACTGCCTGACTCAGTTGCAATACCGCATTCAAACCAGCATGTGCGACTGTGTTTCGCACCTGTCTGTCTTACACCCACAGACCCGAGGGCAGAGGGGCACCGTTGGGTGCATTGATGGTGCACCGTATGTGTGTGTGGAAGTGCTAAAATGCAGCGTCCGGCCTGAATGACCGGGAAATCAAGCGAAAGGCTTGGATATTGATGACCCATTGGAGTGAATATGGATCGCACCATAGATGGTTTGCAGTAATTATGTGGGACACACCCATCCATCTTGAGTGCTTAACACCCGTCGGTTTTCTCTGAAACAAGCTGGGTCGATGCAATTCGCTGTCAACCATCCACAACATTGCAATACAGCTACCGTCAAATAGCCGGAAGAAGCGATATACACCGAATAATGTCACACGTCACGTTTAGCCAGTCAAGTCACTGGGATAATGCGACCTAGGTCGTCCACCGTCGAGACAACCAAGTGGTTTCTCAGGCAGAACAACAAAAATGACTTTTCTAGTTACCTGAGGATAGAAGGGATGCATTTTGTCCACTCCGCCCAAATAAATATGAGGTGTCAAATACACACGCCACAGCCAAAAATCAGCGCGACCT